CACACACGCGCAGATCTCAGGAGGGAAGCCGCCGATCATCACACTGAACATCGTCCAGATGCCTGTAACCCGACTCCCTCTTTGTGTACCTGAGTCAGAGTGTGTTCTTTGTGCTTTTTGTGTTGTGTTGTGGAAGAACAGGCCTTCCTCTCCGTGTTTCCTCTGACCTCTTTGCTGTTTTGCTTGTGTAGACCTTGTCCGTGAAGCCGTTTGGGCCTGAACGTGCTTTTGTGGGCTCGATGCGTTGAGTTTTCGTACTCTCACGCGTGTTATTGCATCTTGTGGCTACTTGGCGGCAGCGTCAGAAACGCGCTTAGCGATTAGTTTCTCAGCTCTTGGTCTGTTAGCATGGCCAGATGTGGATAAGGAGCCAGCAGACTGTCCCATAATAATGTGTGCATATGTCTTCATTCCCTCCCGCTTTGAGCTGATCTCCAGCCAGCCAGCGCTCCACCAGTCGCCTGCAAAGCTCACAGGCCGTTAGCATTTCCCAGAACATCATTAAAAAATGTCCTACTGTGGGGGGATGAGAGCTTTGCAGATCTGGGCAAGTACAAACGGGGCTTCAGGGAAATTTGGAGCTCGTGTTGGCAAACGGCTGTCGTTAAAGTGTTTGACTGACATGGCCGCTGCCCATTTTCTCCCTACCTCTGGTTGAGAAGCATCACCAGAAGGGATCTGAACAGACCCCCTTAGAAAAGATAACCTAGGACACAACAATAAACTACAACGAGAAGACGCCAGCTAACATCAGAAATGGGTGTGTTTGTGGGCTTTGGTTGGGTCTGATCAGCTTGAGACATACAAACAGTAAACACACACAGTGTAGTCATTGTGCGTTTGGTTGTGGAGAAAACACTCTGCTTCCCAAACCTTTCTCTGGCAGAGATCAAGGTCTTCAGGGACTGAATTTTAAGTTACTTGTCTGGTGATTTGAATGTTTTCTTTCATGCTGGGCTTTTATTAGAGCAGAGCGACAGTCTGGAAAAGTTTAAACATGAATTAGAGTTGTCATGCTTTATTTTGTCATTCTTATTACTGAGAAAATCTGAAAAATATGGAAAGAAGGCAAAGTATCCCACAAAATTCCATCTTTTTTAATCTTTATAAAAACACACCAAAAAGAACCTTTAGCCACTAAAGTTTAGTTCAGCGCATTCATGTGAGTTGACTCCTTCCCAATCAAATTATTGCAAACAAAAGACAAATTATTGAGCTTATCTGGTTTCAAAAAGCTTGCACTGTGTATTTCGAATGTAACATTTTGGTCAGACTATGAAAAAGACTAATTTATCGTTCTCTTATGTCAACATGTACATTTCACATGGAGGAGAAAAATGGCTATCCTGTCTGCAAGCTTATATTATGTGATGAAGTAAAATTAATATAATAGCCTTATCATGTGAGACGGTTACATGTTGGTTTTCATCGGTGCATGAAGGATATTATGTATTATCTCCTCTTTGTGTAAGTCTATGTGGTACCAAAGGTAAAAATGCTATTTGTGGGAATGTAAAAAACATTTCCTTGGCTTGTTTCTGCTCTTGGACCCACGGCTGGGTCCCAAAAATCTCTACTGTAAAAACGTCAAATACTCTGTAGTAAAGAGTATCAAACAAAACAGTCCGGTCCGGATTATCGTAGCAGAGAGATAAAAGAAAAATGCCGTATGGTGTTTTTCTGTTTTCTGTGAACGTGAAGACGGCATTGGGGGCTAAATCAGGGACGCAAACAGAGAATGTGCGAGTTCTCCTCGGCGTTCACACCTACAGCAGCAAACTTCCAAACGGCACATTCTGGTCCGGTGACGACAATAGGCCTCCTTCCAGACAATATGCCAGCTAACCGGAGCCATGTTCTATCTTTATAGAGGTAAATTGGGAATCTATCCTTTCTTGTAATTGAATTTAATTAACTTCCCATTTCCTCCCGTTTTGGTGGACAAAGCTGACTTGAGGAAGCTCAGAAACAGAAGACAGCAGGTTGTTAGGATGGAGTTAGACCTGAAAGCCTGCAGGCCACAGAGGTGTGTGCTGGCAGCTTGCTGCTGTCTGTCAGTCCAGTTAAACTGCATTCAGGCTGGTGTCACTCTGAGAAGCGATAAGCTTAATTCTCCCCGTGTGACCGGGACACGACCGCCTCGGCACGGCCACGGGAAAGAGGAGGGCGATGGGGATCTGAGCGTGGCAGAAAGAGAGACAGACGCAGAGTAGACGTGGCCCGTCCCCAGCGCCCCGCATCACACAGAAGTCCTTCCAGCCTGTCATTCACCATCAGCTTGTATTAGAAGCTGAGGGAGGCCCCCGAGGCCGGGCTGCGAAAACTGCAGGACTTACAGAGGAGAAGAAGAGACACGCTTAGAAAAGACAAAGACGGGGAGAAAAGAGATGGGGGAGGAGGAGAAAAGCCAGAAACCAAGAGGTGTTGGTAAAAAATCAGCAGGGATGATGGAGAACTGAAGAGAACGAGACTAAAAAAGTAAACACACCTAGAAACTATAAAAACAAATTAAATCAGGGTATTCTCAGAATAAACATGCTCTCTAAAAGACATTTGATTTGAGTTT